ACAGCCCGTTGCAACGGTGTTTTACACCACTTTAAGCGCTGTCCCCGTGGTCGCGCTTAGCACACCTCCTGCCAAAGCCAGCGCCGGACCGGCCTGCTCCTGAGCTCCGAACACAGAGCAGATTTGCCACAGCTAGGCCTCAGCAGGTCCCCGAGACCAGGCCGAGACAGGACCAACTCCTGCACTCGCAGGTATGCTCAGTGTATTAACCAGGCTGGCCCCGTCAGGGGGGTCAGCACAGTCCCAGGGCTGGAAAATCCCAGACTGTAGCCAAAAGCACCATCCACGTGAAAAAGCCTCAGAGAAATAGTAAGTAACAAACCCCTCAACTCTAGGCCTGAAGTACTGTGCAGTAAGTTACAGCAGGTAAATAGTAAAGACCACAAGGACCATATGCAAAGCGTTACCTGTGAACGGGTGCCAAAACTGCCACTCTCTGCCTCTGGGGTATGGCTGACGGCTTGTCACGAGTCACGCGGCATAGCGTCACCGTGAGGAAGGAGAACCGGCAACGCTGGGAAGCCGTGGTAGGATGGCTGATCAGTAATAACTGAAAAGCCGCACACCATTTTAGAAATGCCAAGTGCCAGCACCAGCATTAACACACCATCCAGACGACAAGGCCAGCAGCCGGGGCTCGGGCTACCGCCCGATGGGGATGCTTTTAGCTCCAGCGCTCTCTGTTCTACTCCTGCTCCCACACTCACTGTTGGTTCATGTGTTGCTGCACTTGCATTAACCGTAGTAATGAATCACTTTGCATGTAAGAGCCTTTCTGCTAGCCAAAAATCTTACTGGTGTAACCAGCACATTACAGGCCCTTCAGGATGTGCATCGAGAGATGGGGCGGAGTGGGCCTAACCGGAAGACATCTGGTACGTCGCAGTTAGCCCTCCACGGGAGAGGAGAGGGTGCAGGCCTCTGCTGCACAGATCGCCCGGTCGCAGGATGAACTTCGCCACCCAATCCTAACTGGGGAACCTGTTGTGGCGATACCACAACCTGTGCAGCTGCCCTGGGCATGCCTCTGGGAAAGGGCAATCCTAGGCAGATGGCTCATCATGTCGGGGAGATGGAACATGGAAGCCCAGCCCTGATCAGGAAAGAGCCAAACTTGCAACGCTTCATTTTTGTTTCCAGCCTGAGGCCCCTGCAAATGGGTATTTCTTCCCAGGGTTACCCACACAGGAGGCATTTCATACTCACTTTCCTCCCTCTCCGCCTGGTTGGCAGCGTAGCCAGCCTTAACTTCTGTTTCTTGTGAGATGCGCCACAGCTGCTGCCACTTGACAGACACACCTGGATCTGGGATTACATTTTGATTTTTATTGAAATACAAAAAGTGCAAACTGTGAGATATAAGATTGGTGCAGATTAGAAGGGAATAAACAACGTGAACGGTGAAAACCCCAGCCCTGCACCTGATGAACATCAACACGAAAGAAGGCAGGGAACACCAGCAACGAAAGCAAAGCCAAAACTTCTGCACAGGAGCCCCCGTGCGTAAGAGAGTTAACAGGGACCAAACTGGCCCTCGGCTCACCCTCAAATTAGCAAACATTGCCGTAAGGCATTCAGGTGGCCCCAGCCCCCCCTGCACCACCCAAAAGCTCTGGTGTCGGTACGCAGCTTGGGCCAGGGAGCGATCGGAGGCCGTTAAGACAGCAGGAGGCTGAGCAGAGGGAATGGTCTGGGTGCTAAAACGCAGAGGGTTGAAGCGGGACAAGTACCCCCACAGGGAGAAATGGCTAATAGCTAACCTGAAAGACCAGGGAAGAGACCCACGGGCAGCTCTACAGCAAGGAGAAAATAAAGACCAGCACCCTAATCAGATACTGCCCACCGCCCCTACGCGGCAGGCACCCAGGCCCGAGGAGGCTGACCAGGCGGGGAGGGAATTCAGCCTCCCGGGCTCGGCAGACACAGGCCCTGGTGGGCACCCAGCCAGCGCAGGCTGCAGGCAGGCCCAGGCCCCTGCCTGGCTCAGGTCGCGGGAGGGGTATTTGAATACAAGGCATTCAGGAGAGCAGGCTGCAGAAGCAAAAGCAACCCTGGTTACTGTGCCTGCTCCAGGGCCCCCAGGAGCTCCAGCAAAGGGGATATTTACACTGGGTCCCTTCCAGGATTTGCAAGCGCTTTCCCACCATGAGCAGTAGCAGCTTCCTGAACACCCTCCAAAATCTGCTCCCTGCAGGCACTGAACTGGAGCAGGCTTTTATCCCTGCCTGCAGGGGATGCACCAGTCTCCATTTTGCTAAAAAAGGAAACATTATGTCAAGAATTCACTTAAAAAAACCCAAAACCCACCCATCCACCAAACTCCAGCCAGAACACGGACACCTGCAGCAATCCCCACTCTCCCCTGGAGAGGAGCTAAGCTTCCCCAGCGCTGCTCCTCTCGCTGCGGGGCCGGGAACGGTCCTTGCTGCTCTGCAGGCCCGGAACATGCCACCTTCCCCAGGGCTGCGTGTGTGCCCCAGCACACAGGCACTTCCCGTTCCAAGTTGCCAACCTCGGGCTCGTTTGTCCCAGGAGAAGTTAGCTGGGTATGCCTTTCCTCCAGGAGGATGTAAGGGAGGCCGGTGTCAGCCGCACGTACAATCAGAGCACCAAGTCTCCCCCCACACTGACGCCTACATTTAAGAGGGGCTGCACCGGGCTGCCTCAGCCTCCACGCTCCTCCTAGGCTGTCCAGAAAGCCTTGCCTCTTAAACCCTGGAGCAAGTACACCCCTCTCCACACTGTCCATCCCAGGAGATTACTCCTCCGCAGCACATCAGCCCTGCTAACTTACTCTAGCAGAGATCACAAGTGAATTAGGAGCCGAGTATCTCTACCTCAAAAACATTTATTTGGGTGCTGCTGTGAATTGTTCAGGCTGAAACAATTCCTATCCCGGCCAAACAGGGAAAACGCCTCTTCTTGGAAGAGGGAGACTGAGCAGCCTTGTAGCATCCACAGGGCAAAGTCCCCAGGATCTAGAAGAGATCAGACCCAGCCCTCTCCTAGAATCTCTCTCCCTCCGGCCTTAGTAAGGCTGTTTCTTGCTCGCTGTTCCCACCCACGTGTTGGTGTGCCTCCTCCGAGTCAGCGGGCCGGCGCTGCCCCGCAGAGCTGCCTATGTTCGCACCCATCTCCATTCCAGAGCTGAGCAGAAAGAGCAGTTTCCCCAATTCCTGCAGCAGATGTCACTTGTTTTGATTACAACTGGGACACCGACCTTTGATCAGTGTTTAAAGGCAGGCTGAAATATTATGAAACAGCAAATTCTATTTAGGATCCAGTAGCTTTTTAAAAAAATTAGTTCTGTTTGGTCCAAAAGATTTGTCCCCGTGGCCAGATGCAGCAGGGAGGACTGGCCCGGGCACAAGGTGGAAAGAGGTAACACGCCACTGAAGTAAGGCCTGAAGCTCCCTTCTAACACCCTGCTGCTCCCAGGCTAAGGAGAGGGATCTCTTTTAGCTCGGGTAACGAGAATGCTGCAACCCAAACCCAGCAGCGATGCCTGGCCGTACTACAGATGCTTTGGGAAGGTGCCAGGCCCACGCAGCTCTGTGCCTGCCTTGCGGACAACCCGCTCTCCCCAGCCGTGCCCAGGCTTCTGTGGGAGGGTGGGACAAAGGTGTGAACCAAGGAGGAGACGGGGCGAAGGCCCTTGGCGTGGAATGGCTGTGCCCTCACAGCTTTGGCACGTAAATCCTCAGCACCCAGGTGGGAATCTGTAACCCAGGCCTGGTGCACTCCAAGGCGAGGGTTAGGCCCAGTCCCCAGACCTTCCCTCAAGGCCGTGCTCTCTGTTACACTGTGCGGGGGGAAGTTCTGATCAAAGACAACGAGCCAAGGTGGCCTGTGCCAGTCAGCACAGGTACACATGCCTGATGGAGGGGGGAGAGGCCTTGTGCCGCTGCCACAGGAAAGGCAGCGACCCTCGTAGTGTTCAGCGGTTTGGCGCCACCGGGGCACTCGCTCCCTGCCATCAAGGCTCACCGGTTGTCAAATGGACCCAGCCAGCCTCCCTGCACAGCCAGGTCTGGCACAAACCTTCCCAGCCAGGCTGGAAATGCTGCTGGGGGGACAACCGTGTCTGAGCTGGGTAACTGTGGGAGGCACCTCACCCACTGCACCCCACCAAACACTGAACGGTATCTGAAGCAGGTGACCCCAGAGGGGTTTGGGCTAAGTTCAGCTTCCCCCAGCCAGGCGTGAAATGCTGCTGGGGGGACAACCGTGTCTGAGCTGGGTAACTGTGGGAGGCACCTCACCAAACACTGAACGGTATCTGGAGCAGGTGACCCCAGAGGGGTTTGGGCTAAGTTCAGCTTCCTTGTATTGCAGTCTGAGAGGGAACACAGCCCGTGTGCCGTGAGCCTGTCCTCCACCTGCCTGCCAAACGCACGGGGTCCAGAGTGGTGTCTGCAAGTGCAGGACATGCTGCTACCTGAAGCACGAGGGATTCCTGCCTCCCTTCCCTGCTTCAGGTGCCTCTGGGGAAAGGCAGGATGCACGTTCAGTGCTGAGAGATGGCACTCGCTGCAGCATCTCTGCCACAAAACCCAGCGAGCCTGCCCTAGCCCAGACAGCCCAGCTGAGGAAAGCGGATGAGCTGGGGCTATTGGGAGCTCAAACAAAAGAGATCTTTGCTGAGGAAGGGACCAGGAGGGCAGAAAAACTGCATGTGAGGGAAGGAGGAAAGGAAGGCAGGTCATCTGACAGGGCAGCAGAGTGGTGATGAGCCCCAGAGGAGCTGCACAGACTGGCAGGTGGGTCAGGACTCCACTCCCAGCAGCTGGGAGACCAGCTCCCCTCCCCATGCGGAGCAGCAGGTCTCCTGCTCGCTTACCTACACAATTTCTCCACCATCTCCACAGCCCTCACTCTGCTCATCACCCAGAGGATCAACGGTCCCTTTGCACTGGAGACAGCTTGGTCACAGCTCCAAGACAAGGTGGGAAAGAAGGTGGAAAGGTGGGCACAGTGTGTAGGCGTGGGCTGGCCTGGATTCAGGCCTCCACACCTCCAAAGAGCTCCTCCTGGTGGTCCAGCAGGAACTTGGTAAAGGTATTGATGGGGTTGATGGCTTTTAGGGTGATGGCTACATCTTTGGCCCACAGCAGATTTGGGCCAAACACAACTGCCAGGTTGGTGTTCGTCATCTTGTTTCTGTCACTGTGAGCGGAGACCTGTGTGGGAAGGAAAGAGAGCACTGTGAGTCCTGCAGAACAATGCAGCAGCTGCCCTCCACCCTCCCCAGAGCCAGAACTGACAGACTCCCAGGGGCAGCCAGGAGGAGAGAAGCTGAAGGCCCAATGCCAGAAGACGGCTGAGGTAAACACACGTGCCATCCAGCACCCAGGAGGTGAGAGGCAGCACCTTGCCATTTGCCACTACAGCTCAACCACCAGGCGATACCATGGGACCAAGAGCACTGTCAGCCAACACCTCTACAGTCCAGACCACAAAATGATCTTCCCTCTTGCGGGAACAGCCTCGCAGTGGCTTCCCTGGCAGCAGAAAGTTCTGCAGGGCAGATCCCAGATCCCTCTTCTAGTCTAATCTTCTACTCAGGTATTTTGCAGTTGTATCTCCACCCTGGAGTGCTTTCAGCCTCCCTGGTACAGACCACATGGCCTTAATGCCCACCCGCATCTCTCAGCGTTACAAGAAGCACCTGCTTAGACTAGTTTGTCGTGATCATTCCTGATCTCTGCCTGACAAGAACACAAGGTAAAGAAAGGCCATTTCCTAGCTTAAGACTCATTGCCTCTCCAAGGAAAAGAGGGAGCAGGCAGTCAGAAAGCTGAGGCAAGGCACTGGCCACTGAACTGGAATACGACTGCCCACCTTTGGAGCAGCTCACCTGCACCAGAAAGGCTGTCAGAAAACGGAGCACTTGGTAGTTTTCTTCCGGCAGAGTCTGGAGTATTTTGCGAACAACATCCACACGATTCTCCTCCTCCACACCTGAAAACCAAGAGAGACAGGACAAGAAGGTCCATGAGGAATCCTCAGCACCCACCCTGATGAAAGCCCTGCTTGCAGTCACAGGGTATCCCATGCAGGACTGCCCACCCCCAAAATATCTTAGCCCTTGGCCAGTGCAACACTCAAGGAGTAGCACACTCTTGTAACAACTCACTCTGGAAGCTGACAACGTGGCTGTAAAGGCCAAAGGTGAGGAGGGGCTCAGGTAGCTCCCTCAAGAAGGTCTTGAGGATCACAGCAGGGAGGTGGACATCTTCATACTGCTGGAAATCTACAGGCACACCTGGGAAAGTAGAGCAGAGACTCAGTATTCACTGGCCAATGCAGGATCTTCTCCAGACAAAGAGTGGGACATGGTGGTCAGAGCCCAGAACTAGGGAAGCAGTGTTTTAAAAAACACAGAGAGGCTGAAGCCTCACAGCTACTTGCAGAGTGGAAAATATGTGTCCCAAAAGCATTTGCAAAGCACTGCTGAATGCAGCACTACATCTTTAGTCATCAAATGAAACAGATGACCAAGTTTCTTCCTGGTCAACTTCAGTCCCTCCAGGATAACCAGACTAAGATGGTATATCCCAGACTGAGAAACAAGGGAATTTTCAGGAAGGAAAAGGGCAGTGAGTGGAACATGAGTGGGAATGAATACGTCTTCCACACAGCAGAAGTATCAGATCCTTCTCCCTTGCAACTCAGGTGATACCCTGATGGGGCCTCACCTAGAGACCTCTCAGAGAAGGAGAGACGCCATGATGGACTGGTTCCAACACAGTTCCAGCTGGACAGCAGTAGCCTGGGAATGCGAGGGGCTCTGCTGATCTTGGGCACTTACCCATGTTGTATTTTTGCTGGACCTCCCTGACAACCTGCGTATTTGCTGATCTCCGGAAAACCCCCTCCGTAGCAAGAGCTGTGAAGTGAGAGCAGATGGAGGAGAAAGATCAGCCACGTGAGACTCCCTAAAGATGCTGGTCTTCACAGGCATAAATCCATGCTGTGGGGACTGCAGACAGATGTCAGCAAGTCCCTTTTTTAGAGTACAGCCATTCTTTCTGCTTCCGCTACCAGGCAAAGGATACAAGGAGTATTTTGCTACAAGTGGGAGCATGGACGACTGGAAGAAAGAGGTCTCCTAAGCCCTGCATAATCTCTCTTGAAGGCTAACTCACCTGGTTCAGGCATTTACACCTTACTCTAGACTGCTGTTCTTTGCCTTACCACACTCTGGATGGGAACTTGCGTGGAGGAGAGGCCACTGACAGGGAATTAAGAGGGGCTGCGGCTTCCCCTGAACACTTACCATGCTCCTGCAAATGAGTGATAGTGTCTCTGACCACCAGCGGAACAGGAGACTGATCGGGGTTCTTCTCCCTGAGACTGCGGGAAGAGACAAAAGGTTACAATGACTGATCTTCTCTGCCCTGCATACAGCCCCTGAGTCTTGAAGTTGCCCACACAGGATCCCAGTCCCCGGTTCAGCCATTATTCCAGCCTTCTCTCCTCTTCACCCACCATGATACGTCATTCACTGGAGCAAGTATGAGCTCATTACTACACCACGGGAATATTTCATCTTATGTAAATCATAGCCTGTAGATGCCATGGCAAAGGGGTGCCCAGAAGGCAATGCTGCCAATTACAAATCAGGTGAAAAGGGTTAAGCTTCCTTTTTCCTTCCTCATAGGAGAAAGGGCAGAAAGAAGCTGACACATGAGAGAAAGATATATATATGGGGTAAGCTTACCCACCCCACTCCTGTAACGGAAGACCTATCAAGCTAACGGCTATCAGGGAAAACCTAGGGCTGCCACGGTGTTCGCTGCCACCCCCACATTCGATTGTCTGTACCACTGGATAGCATGGAGCTGTTCACCCCTCTCAGGCTACAAACAAGCTCAGGCACACGGCACCACGGGGGCTGCGTTGGGAGATGTTGTGTTGAAGCTGAGGAACGTGTTCCCAGATTGCTTCAGAGAATCCATCTGGCCACAGAGTACTGGCTCCTCGTCATTCTCCAGGCAGGCAAAAATCACACTCAAAGTTAAAAATATCTTCAACACTTAGGCAGTATCACTAGCCCTTGCCAGTGTCTGTGCTTGCCTGTGTCACCACACAGGAATGGGGAGTGGGAATCAGTACAAGGGTGAACAGAATTGCTTTTAAAATAGAATTTATGATATGGAAAAACCTAAGAAACAGATCTGCAGGATCTATTTCAACCAAAATAGCATAAGCCCCAAAGACACCTCCATCAGCCTCCTACAGATTTCCTTTTCTTAAAGGAAGTTTCCAGTGGCACAAAGCCGTCCCCCCAGCCCTTATTTTGCTCCTCTCTTAGTGATCCTTAGCTGCAGAACAATCTCATCCTAATTCAGATACAATCTAGTTGAGGAATCCAGAAGGTGGAGCTGAACCGAGTCAGTCAAGATCGGGACGTAAGTGCAGAGCTCCTCAGAACAATGATTAAAGCTTTGTAGGAAGTCTGAACTGCAAGAAATTTTACAGCCACTTTTGCTGCTGTCCGGTTATAAATACAGTGACCTCATATCAAGCAAGTCAGGGCAAAAGCAACACAATCCAGAGATACTCACTGCTGGAGCGAGACTCCAAACTGCTGGTTTGGCAGCGGTGGGCGCGGGGGTGTTGGCTTCTGGGGCACTTGTGAAGGTTTCTGCAGGGATCTCAGATATTCATCATATCTGTGGCAAAACACAGACTTGTAAAAAGCCGCTCCACCTCCCAGAAAGGGCACGGACCAGTACTGCACATGGCCCAGGGCACACCCACTAGTAACAGCTCCAGCCTAGTGTGGTTGATTCCACCTATGCTAAAAACAAGGTGGGCAGCCCTGGAGCATAGGGGCCACAAGAACACGCACCTGGTTGCCAGAAAAAAGCAGTAAGAAATTAATATCTATCTAGATTCAGGAGCTGACATAGCTGAGGATGACAGCCAGCGTGGGCAGGAGGCCAGGACAACACTGCTTGTGATCAGACAGTTGCATGTGTGTGAGGGACAGGGAATCAATCTAGTAGGACTAAGATCGTGGCAACTCCAGGAAGCCCGAAGATGAGTCGAACATGCAGAGTGAGCAAATCAGGCGCCCAGACGCAGCAGATGTGCACCACGAGCTCCAGGTCAGTGCTAAGGTCAGCAGCTTGCAGAAAGCCCCTGAGGGGTGAGTGGGAGAGGCAGGATTAGTGCTCCACTGGAAGAGGATTTTAGCTCAAGGACAGAACTGGGCACTGGGGCCAAGAACATACAGGAAGGAGCGTGGAGAGAAACAATAGTCATTAAGGCGATTTGTCACGACTCCCTCTAAAACCATTGCCTGAGTGGAACAACCTCTTCCTCCCCCTGCCATTCCTCCAGAAAAGTCCCCTCTCACAGAGCCCTAAGCAAATGGGAGACAGGCAGCATTCTCACTTCAGCACTTGGCTTGGGATCCCCAGCTGTTCCAACTTCACATACTCCTCCAGCTCACTAAGGAAGTTCACATAAAAAATCTTCCGTCCAAACTTGAAGCTGAAAAACAAGAGAAAAGTAGGTATGTGAGGAATCGGGAAACCCGGTAGCAGAACGGACTTCTCACAGGCAAGGAGAGCAGGGGGTCTGCAAGAGACACCAATGAGACAAAGGGGCAGGTATGGCTGAGCAGCAGAGATGTTGCCCACATAGCTCTGCAACTCCACGTATTGTACCAGGAGATGCCAAGACTTTCCAAGTCACATTAGAAGCAGTAGCAGGCTCCCTAAAAAGCTCTGTTTCTCCTTCCTGAGTTCCACAGCAGGCTGGAGAAAGTTTTGTTTTCACTTATTTTACAGAGTTACTTTCAGCATCAACACAACAAATTAAATATAATTAGGACTGATGATCCCACTTCCTTTTCCATTATTAGCAGAGCCTGCAACACTTCACTTCTACTTGGCTGGATAGAGAGGGAGCAGCACAGAGCTGTAAACACTGCAGGTTCCCAAAGCAGTACTTCTTGGGTTTGAATATTTCTGAGCTCAGAAACAGGAGATAGCACAGGATGAGAGATTCCAGGGTAGGCTCGGTAGCCTGGGCTCATCTTGTCCCCCACTGAGAGTGCCTCACTATTCCCTTGCAGTGTGAGTGAGCTCCTATAGTGCTTCCTACCTGATCAGAGGCTTGAAGAGAATCAGCAGAGTCTTGATGAACATGGTTGGGTGCACAATATACAAGGCTTTGATGTTCTTCTTGTACCTGCCAAGAGAAGCTAAGGATGAGCTGCACTTTGAGCAGAGGAACCAACCTTGCCACAGGATTAAGACACCCTGGGTGCCCTACTCCTTTCACACTGAGCCTCACCACTCCCCAGCACCCACGGTCTCTGCCTTCTCATGCTTCCTAGCCGTGTCAGACCACTCAGCACCTTAAGGGCATGCTCCTCTGTATTCCAAGATGAACTGAGAAGCAGCGAGCAGCCTCACCAGGAAGCAGCAATTATACCATGGGGCTGATACACTTGCACTGGGTCCTGGTGTTGCTGCTTGCCTGTTGGCCTAAAGGATGTAACTACAGAAGGAGCTGTTTCTCCCAGGATTCAGTATGCATTAAACAACCACCCACCTCCATAAGCAGCAGAAATAAGTGATAGTAAATTAGGATGACCAAGCTACATGGGGGGCCTGGAGAAGATCTTCTCTGTTACGCTACAGAACAGCATGTTCTATCCCTGCTTGCTGCAGCTGTACTCACTTGCGATCAAATTCCCTGTAGGCATCCCGCAGCCAGCTCAGGGATGGCTTGTTCTCACTGGTCAGGCCATGGTGCAAGTACACCAGTGTGTAATCACTCTCCACATACTGGTCCAGTGTGAATTTCAGGTACCTGAGAAGAGACAACTGCTGAACTCACTTCATGCTCTGCCACAGGGAGGCTCTTCCTCCCTTTGGGACTCATTTTGGTGTGCCATAACAAAAAGAGACGTAAATACTTTGGGAGGACACATCCAGCTAAAGAAGCTACAGGTAGATCTGACCCCAGGAATCCAGCACCTGGGAATTAAGTCAGGCTTAAGAAGTTAACAACAGCCTCCCAAGGCACTACTCACCCCAGTAGTTTCACGTGATCAAGTTGATGACTCGGGGGCATCCGGCAGGCACTGAACAAAATGACTTTCCTTCCATATTTGTCATCACCTGCAGATGAAATGCCAGCGATTATCAGGACATTAAGGACTACATTGTGGTCTTGGCAGCAAGGAGTAAACAGAGAATGGGAAATTGCCATAACAAGGCAGAAGTCTGGATTGCCACAGCTGCCAGCAAAGCTAAACCCCATTTTCAGCAGTTACCACGGGACAGGTACGGAAGCAGAAACCTGAACACCAAGGGCCTGGCAAGTCAACAATGCAAACAGAGAACAGAGTCCACGCTCCAGCCCTGATAGAAGAGGAAGACTCGGAAGTCAGTATGCCTTGGGACACGTAGGGATGGAGGTCCCAAGTACACAGCAGTGTGCTCAGAGCATTAATTCTGCACCACTGCCCCTGGGCACTGTTCCTGATGCACGTGTGTCCAGGGAGATGCAGGGAAAACTGCCCCGCACAGGCACAATAACCACTCCTTCCGTCCTGCACACAGTCCCAGACTAACTGCCTGGGGTCTGGTGCATTCCTTTCTTGCCTCACCTGAAGCTTAGTCCTGCACACAGAACAAAGTCATTTCATACCCTGGAAACCAAGAAATTCCAAGAAACAGTAAAGCCCCAGCTACATCCCAGAGATGGAAGCAAGCATCATCATAAGCCTCTTCTACAGACGGACCAAGTAGGGCTGCTGGATTCTCCAGGGGAATTGCAGAACAAGCTGTTCACTGCTTCCTGGATTTTCCATCCACAGAGATATTTTTCCCAACCTGAGCTGGAAGGAGCTGCACAGCATGGCACAACAAAGCAGTCTACATAAAAACCCAGCAGAAAAGAGTCCACATCACACTGAAGCCAAAATCCCATAAAGAACCCCCATCTTGGGGAGGGCACTCCCCACTTTTCTTGAAGCTTCCAAGACAACAAGCCAAGTTTTCCCCAAAGCACACCTTCATACGTCAGTGGGCTTCTTCCAGCAGAGATCTCAGCCCCATGCACAAAACCCGAGCAGAAGGGCATGGGCAGGCTAAGCAGATATGCCCGGGGAACTGAGAGATTTCGGTAAGTTAAGAACCAGGTCACAAATCTTTCGGACATAGAGTTTGAGGGAAAGTTTGGTTCTCTCCCAGACACAACACCCAATCCATTTCCATAAAGATGACTTGCTTTGTAGCACCAGTGGAGATGAAATGGTTCCTTTAGTACGAAGGATTAATGTCTTTCCATCTTTCCTGCTCCTCACCCTGCTCCAACAGCTAGGTTTTCTTGTCAAGCACAAGGAGCACAGAGCAGTGGAAGGCTCTACCGAGGTTATTATACTCTACAACACCCTCCTTCCTCCCCTACAGCACATCTCATGCAGACCACAGCACAGAAAAGCAGCAAGGATCGCTACTTATGCAGGACAGCGCTGCAATACCTCATTCCCCTTGAACTGTATCCTTTATCCCACACTGATTTACAATATTCAGAGCATGCAGCCATTTTCTCACCTTTGCAAGGGCTCTGACCCTCAACAACCGCTTGATTACACTGGCCACGTAGCAACTGAGGTCTCAAACTGACCCCCGGAACAGCAAACCTGAGGTTTCCAGGAACGCTGCCTGTTAGTAACGGACTTACTTGGCAGCTCAGTGCTGCCAACGGCAGCCAGAACACTCACACACCCCAGTCAGGACATTAAGGTGCCGCTAACACCTTTCCCTCCCAAGTCCCATTTTCAAGCTGCTCACCAGACAACACGAGACAGAATTTACTGATGCGCACAAGCCAGAACCTCTACAAAAGCTAGGGACATTGAGCAGCGCTAGGTACAGACCGGGAAAGGGCTGGCATACGCCATCACATTGACAAACACATGCGGAGGTAAAGGGCAATTAGGGAGGACGCATGACCCGGGATGCAGGACTAGGAGAAAGTGATGCAAGGCTCGTCTGGAACAACCAGATACAGTCACAGCCAGGCCACGAGACCAACATCACATTGCACATCCCACGGTAGCCCACTCTCTGCCTAGCCCAGAGTTTCTTGGTAGCTTGCTATGAGCTTTAGAGCTGGGTCTAATGCAAATAAGCGGTCTATAAAACAAAGGTGCAGGCTACAAAGTCCTGGGCAGGCATATTGTGACTTTTGAGCCACTCATTATGTCTCCATCAGGAAGACAAAGGGTCCTGTCTGCACAGAGCAGCAAGAAGAGGGGAGCATCTGAGAATCTGTTGAGTTTTGTAGTGATGAAAGAGAATGGTCAGAAGGACTACAGATCTTTGCAGATCATGGCTCTGTGCTAAATTCAGAATAGGTGCTATCTTCAGTTAACTGAGAGGCTGCGTTTCACACCAGGGAGGATTGTCTGAGGGCCAGAAGCACATTGCAAGCTTGACCAAGGCAGGCCTTGGTTGTGAAGAACTGCAGTACAGCAGCATGTTCACACGATGTTGTGTGTGGCCACGTACTCAGCTCAGGCTCCTGGACACTGATTTCCAGACCTGCCAAGTCACAAAGTCAGGAACCACATAGCTTAAACACCTTCCTCTGGAATGGCAAGAAAGCCTATGGCAGGGGCTATGCAAAGTCTAGAATCTCATTCCTTCTATAGACTTGGTGAGAAGGTCTGGGGTCGTTGGTAAATTAAAAATTGACAATTCTGCCAAAGGGGAGATGGCATGTTTCCCCTGGATAATTTCCAGGGCCAAGTACACCAAAAGATAATATACAGTCCCCTGGATGACTGGAAAAGGAGTGGCCCATTTTGCCTTCCAAATCAGAATGAATTTAGGCATGAGACCTACACAGGAACCAGCATGCCCATTACTGTGTCCTGGGTTTCACTCCCGTTTCATCACACCGAGCTCAGCCTGTCAACACAGGCACTTTCAAAACAACCAACTGCCAACCTGACATGTATCAGATCAGTCTGGTTCCTCCAGACATGACAAAATTCAAAATTCAGCATTAAAGACAAACAATCCAATTTATAAAGGAGAACCTAAAGCCCATTCCCTGCATTGTTCGCGGTCAGAGGAAACTTGCCTGCAGGTGGACTCTCTCCCTCCGAGGAACAGATTCTTATCGTTTGATCTTTCCCAGATGCTCCATCCTTGCACTGTTTCTGTTTGCTTTCCCGTTTGCAATATTAATCTTATGTATCTAGGTTTTCACCCCTTGTTTGCAATTGCAAATAGCTGAGGTTTCCACTGAACACAAGTAGAGACCATGAAGTAATCACTCAGCTTCTCAGACTGTCTCCTACCTTTCCCAGATGAGGAATGTTCTATAATTAACAAGAAACCAACAGAGAAGCAATTATATACCATCAGTATGCACAGAGCACCCCAACAATGTGCATACCTCTGTGAGTAAGTTCACACATTGAAAGTATTTTCAGTCTGCGCTGGAATTAAACTACCTCCCTATAGGATGTAATTCAGATTTTTTTTTTTTAACAGCAAAGAGCAAAACAGTAGCCGATATGCAAAGCCTCTCCAGTCAAGACAGCTGCTCTTCTAAAGAGGGATTAACCTGTAGTTCTGACAGACATGCTAATTCTCCTGAACATTGTGACAACGCTTTTAAGGCCCAAACTCAGTTTTTCCTCTCACCCCAAGAGCAGCGCTTTCAGTGCACTTCTGAGACAAGGGGCAAGGAACATCACTGCTGTGGCTCCAAGCCATCAGTGCAGGACCGTACTTCTGAACGGCCTGAAGTTTAAATGCTAAGGCTAATGTTTCAGGTTGAAACCTGCAGCCATACAAACGTAACAGAGCAGAAATTCGTATCAAGGTAGCAGTACTGTCCTGAGACAGGACTCTCTATGAATGAATCTGTACAGCCAACACAGACTTGACGTGCAAATCCTGCTATGTATCTCTAGGTATTTCTCCTGAAATGCGTCCGTTAGCCTCAATGCCGTGATTGGAGGCTGTCATACATACCCTCGGCTGAGGGCTCACCTTGATGAAAGATCCAAATGGGAATATCCTGGTACTTTAATACTGAGAGGCTGCAGACAGATAAAACTTGCCACCAAAAGCTCGAGCTATTGGTAAAACAGCAGTTAACAGAATTCAAGGTCAAGGAGAGGCCACCACTACATAACTGTGGAACATCACTACACAAGTTTCACAAAGCTTACGATGTTTATCAGTCACTGTCAGTAAAAAAAAAACTTCTCTAATATAATTTCAGCTTCCTGCCAAGCTTATGACACAGCTGGGCAGTGTTTAAGTATAGTAGACTTTATTTGCTTGTGGAATTCCAAAATGGCTTTAACCCCTCAGGAACAGAAGGCAAGGAGCTCAAAGTAGAAGTATTTTAATTCACGACATTTTCCACCTCAATATTCCCAATATCCAAACACTGCCAGAATCATAAATCCTTACAAGAGACTACAGCTTTAACTGATACAAAATATACTAGAGGGTCAGAAGAAAGAATGCAAAAAGGGAGGATGGCTGAGAGCACGGCAAATGGGGGAGAAGAGCCCATGTCATGGGGCCGTGAGGATCAGCATTTCCACGGCCTGTGCAAAGGTCTTGGCCTGCTGTTCAGAAACAGCAGAAAGAATTTCACAGCAAAAGAAGTTTTCATCTACACTGAGAAGTGTGAAAGCCCCAGCAGCCAAATTCTGAAGTCCAGAGAGTATTAACAAATGCTCGGCAAGCATAGAGCAGCCTAGTACAGCTTTGGGCTAGAATGAGGAACAAGATATCAAAACACATCTCTGCAGCCAAATGGAAAAGAAAGAGAACAGTGGCTTTCAGCTGGAGATTCCAGTTCAAGCGCCAGCTGCTCAGCACGTGAGCGCAGCAGCAGATTGTATGAAGGGTTAGGAAGCAATCCCAGGATGAACTTCCAAAGCAGGTGTGACAGCGAGGTAGATCTGAGTTCAGACTGAACTGGTCCAAGAAGGCCACCACCGTGACAGAAGAGGAAGAGGGTTTACGCTGAGACGCAAGAGCCCCAAAGTGCCCCAAGTAAAGCCAACACTCCAGATTTGGCTGAGATGACTCTGCTGTGCCTGAGGCAGAGGTGCAGCCCTCCGATGACAATTTTG